GAATATATATAAGCGCGACCTAAAAAAAACTGGTCCGAATGGACCAATTTTCAGGGTGTGGTCTCGGCGCCGGACCCAACTCAAGCAATATAACAGAGTTTACTTAAGAATCGTTACTTTCACCCAAACTTTTATTCTTTCTTGGATATATATTTTATACTATATAAAATATACTGAATAAAAATATATTTAAAAACGTCAACATTTTAAAGATTATAATATTATAAAAATTATTTATTATAAAAAGAGATATACATGATATTTTATTTTATACAATATAAAAAAATGAAAGGCAAAAAATTTATAATGCAATTTATATTTAATTTGTTCTTATCTAGAACAATCAGTATATTTAAGCGTAAAAATAAATGATAGAATTTTCGCAGCCTACAAAAAACCCAATTAAGTTATGAAATCTTATTTTTTATTTAAACTTGGATGAACATTGTATTCTTTGTACAATTAAAAATACAATTAATATAAGATATTTAATACTAACTATTATTTGATTATAGCAAATTATAATCTTTACCTAAAATTTTTCTAGAAGCATTAACTTTTCTAATTTATGTTCTTAAAATTAAGTTTTCGATGATACTGAAATGTTTTACATCACGTCGCTCTATTGATAAAAAAAGTAACACATATCAAAATTAGCATCTTTTTAGTAGAAAATTTTTTAAATTCTAAATTTAAACAATGTTTTAATTAAAATAATAAATATGTATAATTTCATTTCTGTTCACGTTATACATTCAATTATAATGTATACTTTAAAGTGTCATGAATTCTTAAAACTATCGTTTTAAACCACGATCGCTTTCAAACACTGCAATTTAAATGATAATTTTTTACATGTGTCACATTTCTATTAATGGAGCGATGTAACGTGAAAATGTATTTTAAATCTGAAAATAGACAGTTTCCTGCATTTATATATAGCTTTAATAAATTAATAAACAAAAGATATTATAAGATCAATAATATTAATAATTAACGTGATATTAAATAAATGTTAATATGGAGAAATGTTTACACTTGAATGATACTTGATTAAATGATATCAAAGAGCTTTTTGCACCTGCAAGCAAATGAATCACTTGAATGCAATAATCTTGACTAAGAGTTTAAACGTTGCATGCAATATAAAGCAACTTTTCCCGTTAACAAGTGAAATCGAACGATAGCTGAAGGACACTCGAGCATATATACAAACATCACAAAGTTGAGTGCAACGTAAACGACG